GTTGCCCCATCCAGCACTGCCCAGAGAGAGGAAGTGAACCAGATGTGATGGGGCACTGACATGCAGCACCCACTCCAGACTGGCCCAAAGGGTTACATTTTTATCCTCTGATTTCCAGGCAACTGGAAGTTACTGATATATAATCAGCTAACAGCTTTGATATCCAGCCATTACCTGCTCAGCAGCCCCATGCAGAAAAGGTTTTGTTTAACCTCTTGTCATAAGCAGAGAAGAGCCACCCAACACCTCAAGCTGTACCAGAGGAGAGGTGTCCTGAGTTACTCTGACCTTGCCACAGGAAACTGCAGGACAGAGGAACTGCCTGTGGTGCAGCATGGCTGAGTCCTAGCAGCTGGATGTTCCACGTGGCATGAGTGGAGGTGCTCAGCCAGAGAGAAAATATGAGAAATATGGATGCATCTGTGTCAGGAGAGAAAGAGAGGTATAATGTAAAAAAAGGGAAATGTCAGAAGTGCTAAGTAAAGTGAAATCCTAGCTCTGCTAAATGTCAGTGACCAAGGTCTTGCTTCTTCAGTAGGATGGAGATTTTACCCAGGGGTTAAGAGGTGCAGCTCAAAACCACCAGGATGATTCAGAGCAGGCAGAAACAGAGAGGTCTGCTCAGGGCTGCAGTAACTCAGCCAGCAGCTGCCAGCTGGGAGCATTTGGCCATGGGCATGACAGGTGCCATAATCTCCTGTCATCATGTACTTTGTATCTTTGATTATTTAGACATCGATAGACTGACATGTAAAGAAAAATGTATGTTCAATAGGACACTTGACATCAGAAGCTTCTTATATGGGAAGGCTTTTATATAGAGAGAACCTCCCAATCAGACACTATGAGCTCTGTGGAATTTGAGATTTTAGGGCCTGAAGGGAACATTACAACCTTCTAGCCTGAACTTCGAGATAAAATAGGCTACAAAACCAAATAATTTCTGCATCAGGCCAATATCTTCTGGATGAGTTATAGATCATCTCTTACAAACTTCCAGCCTTGGTCTGAAGACTTTATATGATAGACAGAATTTACAACATCTGTAGGCAGATAGCTCTGGTCAGTCTTCATGTCTCAGCAGTTTTGATTAATACAGTAAGTGTCTCTTGTAATATTAGCATTGTCATGTCTTATATCCATCTACAGTGCAACATATGGTGGAAGGATAATGTAAAAATGTCCAGTGACTGTGACTTCAGTGGATCACCAGTGCTCCCCCAAGTTTAAGAACATAGCTAAAATAAAAACATACTAAGAGAGACTTTTATTCATAGTATTTTTATATATGTAAGTTTTGAAAGGAGACAGGCAGGAGCTGCATGCACTTGCACTGCAGAGGAGACCAAGATAACTGATGCAGTGCTGGAAGCACCCAAAAGCCATTGTAGAGGAGATGGAAGAGCCCAAGAAGATCTGTTCTGACCTATCTGTTTGAATCATCAGAGAATCACAGAATGTTTTGGGTCGAAAAGGGCCTTAAAGATCATGTAGTTCTAACCCCCCTGCTATAAGCACCCACTAGATCAGGCTGCTTCAAGCCCAATCCAGCCTGGCCTTGGACACTTCCAAGGATGGGGCATCCACAACTTTTCTGAGCAACCTGTTCAGTGCCTCATTACTCCCTGAGTAAAGAATTTCTTCCTAACATCTAATCTAAATGTCTCCTCATTCCATTTAAAACCATCCCCCCCCTTGTCCTCTCCCTGTCTACCCATGTAAAAAATTGCCCTCCATCTTTTTTAAGGCACTTTTATCCCCTGAGGTCTGTCTAGACGAGGACAGCTTTGAACCCAGCGCTGACAGAGGCAGCAAAGAGCATGCTTCTGTAATAGAAATGGAGAAGTGACACTACTTTAGAGACTAAGGGGTTAACAACAAACAATGCTTCTACTGGGATTCAAGTTTTCCAGAACACAGGAGAAGGCTGAAGTAAAGCTAAGACTGAAGAAAGAACCAAGTCAGCCCAATACATGTACCTGGATGAAGGATAGATTTGCAAACAAATGGGAGAAGTGGAAAAGTTCAACCCCAAGGATAAGACAGATGAACTATGGAAAAGGAAAAAGGATGAGCTGGATCAGAAAAATGTGAGAGAATTCAAGGTTTCTAATGTTTCTCTCCCCAGGAAACCATCTGAGTCATGTAGCTGAGGAAAGCTTACGTAAAGCCAGATTTTTTTCTGGTGAAGACAGGGTAAAAATACTGTCAGAAATTAGTTAGAGAGGTATTGAGTAATACAAGTAAGTACTGATATATAAGAAACTTCAGTATATATCAGCAAGGCCCCTATGTCTATACTTTTATATCCTGACAGTGGTCAGAGCATTAACTTGGTATAAACTATTTCTAATCACCCATCAAGGAGGCTAAAAATGATAAAGGTGACACATGCTGTAGAATGGACTTCAGGCTGATAAACTCTGATGGGCTTGACAAATTGGCCTCTGTGTTTAGCTTGAGCTAGAGCACCCAAATAACCCACACCCCTCTACCTGTCCTTGGGCAGGGATGCAGAGCTGGGTCTGAAGGAAAAGGAGAGAAATTGTGGTGCACAGAGAGCTGTCAGAACACGGGCTCAAGTTGAGAAGCGCCCCTGTGCATATCCACACCCTCTGTGAGCTCTGGGCAGTTCTTCAGGCAGAACAACACTGTGCACCTCCTCACACTGATGCTGGTACCACAAAGAGGTATTACAACATTTCAGAGTGCTTTATAACTGGAGAGTTTAGTTCTACAGCAGACTGCAGCTTGGGGCCACATAACCCACACAATGTCATTCTGCCTCAGAGATGTTTGGGGAGGAACTGTTTCTGGAGAAATTTGGATCAGTTTACAGAGAACTTGAGAATAAGAGAAATCATAATAAAGTTCTGAATAATTTATTGGCAAGATGATAGCTTGAATTTTTACCCTAACAGACCCAGTCATGCTGAGGCACAGCTTGTGTAACTCCACATGAATGCTAGGGAAGGAAATGGCATACCGTACCTGGGGAGCCCCAATGGGGTGGGACAGAGGTCAAACCAAGAACTGGCTAATGCAGACAAGACACAACCAAAGTTTGAGGTGGTAGGATTGTCTCATATGTCCCTGACAAGGTGTACATTGCAACCTCCCCACCCTCTAGGAGAGAAGCTGGCTGCTCCAGGTCAGCTCACTGATACAGGCAGCTGCTAGGAAAGCCCTGCTAGGGGCTGCTAGGAAAGCCCTGGAGGGACCCTCAGCAGGGGCTCCTCCCTCCTCTGCTTGGCAGCTGCTTTTAAACTGAAGCTCTCATTCCTGGCTCCTGCCTGAGCTACAGGCCTGGACCAGGCCATGTACCTACTGATCCGGACCCCCACTCAGGGACTGGACTTCATGGCCAGAACTTGGAGCTGCCTCATCCCCATCAACTTGTCTGGTGATCTGCACTGAAGGCTGAGTCTGGCTACAGCCCACAGCTGCTCTGCTTGCCTTGCTCAGGGACAGTGAAATGAGGCCAGGGCTGGGGGAAACCTGCTCCAATGACTCTTAACGCATTTGGCTCCCAGCTTCCTGTCCTTTAGAAAGCAGCTGGCCACCCCAGTGCTCTGGCAGTCTTCATTCACTTCTTCTGAACCATTTCCATCTTTTGTGGAGATATGAATTTCTTTAAAATAATGGCTGGGAATATGACTACCTTGCTGCTCTAACATGAGACAGTCTCAGCAATCCTGCCATCACAGTGGAGGTGCCCTTGGTTTGCTCAGAGAAGGCATGATTTTCAGCATCTGCAGCAGCCCCAATTCTTTGGCTGGCCAAGACTCTAAACCAGGATTTCCAAAGTATGCAAGACATGGCCTTTGCGCAGTCCAAAACACTTGTGGCCATCCTGGACAGATAACACAAATTTCAGGGAGAGTCCCTGCCCTTGTTTCAGATGTACCTGGCCCTGGACAGCCTTTTCCAGAGACCAGGAGGACAGGTTTCCCCTGGCGACAGGTTCCCCTTCATGGGAAGGCTGGAGCCATTTATCTTGATGAACTGCCCCAGAGGCCTGCAAAACGGAGAAGGGGAGCAATAGGGAGCTGCTTCTCCTCGAAGCTGAGGCAGAAGATGGATTTTCCATGCTGATCTGGAGCTACAGTCCCAGCCCCACTGTGGTATCCCGCTGATTACCTGGCCCCATGAGCCAGCTGCAGGAGCCCTACTGGCCGCTATCACAGGACATGCGCTGGGGCAGCTCCCTTTGCCTGGGGATGAGCAGAACAGGGGAAGTCTTGTGGTTTCTCTTAGTTTATGTCTTTGGTTGGGGTAATGCTGGCAGAGATGAGGCGTGTGGTGTCTTGCCCACAGATGAAAAAAGGCAAGTTAACAAGAAACTGTGTGGTTCAGAAACCCTGCTCATGGGGATGGGTGTCTAGAGAGTCCAAGCAACTGTTTCACTTCCTCTGATGGCATGATACTGAACACTTCTCCAAGGTGCAAAGCCTTCAGCTCAGTCTTTCCAAGAACATTGCTTCAACTGAACATTTCTCAGTTTTAATTCTTAGCTCACCTGCGTGGGCCCTAATTTCTCTTCTGACCTCTTATTTATCTCAGAATATGGGATGAGCAGGAAAGCCAGAGGTTTCCCTACACGTAAGCCTTGCGCATCTCTCCTCCAGGGCCGGTGCCCCACGCCGTGCGTGTTTATGAAAGCAGGGATGCCTCCATCCCTCCCTCCCTCTCTTCCTAACCCCACCTCCCCAGCACGGCTGGAGGCGAAGCGGGGCCGGGGCCTGCGGGGCCGGGCCGGCCTCTCTGCGCAGGGGCGGGCGGCAGCCCCAGTCCGCTGCCGGGCACCGGCCCCAGCCCGCCGAGTAGCGGCCCCGCCGCCGCCGGTGCCGGCTTTTTGGCATCCCTAATCGCGGCTGGCCCCTGTGATTGGCTGCGCGGCTCTGACCCCGCTCGGGCTCCCGGCTGGGCGGATAAAAGGGGCCTGAGCCGGGGGCTCCCAGGCATTCCCGGAGCGGGCACCAGGGACCGCTGGCCGCAGCATGACGGGCAAAGCGGGCGCGGCGCTGGCCCCCAGCCTGCCCGGCAAGCCCAAGCCCGACGGCGCGGCCGCCGCCCCCGCCGCCCCGCCACTGCCTCCGCCGCCCCCCGCGGCTGGGGTCAAGTCCAACTCCGGGCCCACCCCTCCCCGCTGCACCGGCTTCGGCATCCAGGAGATCCTGGGCTTGAACAAGGAGCCGCCGTCGCACCCTCGGGCCGCCCTGGACTCTCTGCCCGCCGGGCACCTGCTGGCGGCCCGCTCCGTACTCAGTCCCGCCGGGGTGGGCGGCGTGGGCATGGGGCTGCTGGGCGCCAGCGGCATCCCCGGCTTTTACACCCAGCCCACCTTCCTAGAGGTGCTCTCCGACCCCCAGAGCGTCCACCTGCAGCCCCTGGCCCGGGCCCCCGGGCAGCTGGACAGCAGCCAGACGGCCAGCTCAGGTAGGCACGTCCCCGGCCCCCGGGGACCCGCTGCCCCCCGCCAGCACCGCCGCCCGCACCCAGCCGCCGCCCGCACCCCGTGTCCCGGCGGGAGGCCACTTGCTCGGCGGTGGAAGGGAGATTTCGTTTCGATCCCGAGAATGAGGAGAAGGGCGGGCGGGACCATATTTTCCCCCGTCCGGGGCTGCGGCCGCGGTCTGATGGCGCGGCCCCGGTCGCCCGGCCTAGGGATGCGCAGAGCCCCGTCGGAGCGGCCCCCGCGACCCCGTGTTGCCGGATAATTGGGGGTCTTTCGGCATCCTTTTCCTAGACGGCAGCAGCCTCCCACAACTCTGCCTACAGGCCCCGTTCCGCGGCCGCTTCGGGTCCCCCCAGAGCGGCAGGCAGCAGCGCCGGACCCTGGCTCCGGGGGCAATTCCCGGCCTCCCTCCGGCAGCGGCGCCCGTCCCGAGCCGTGCCCGTCGCCCCCGCTCGCAGCACGGCCCGCCGAGCAGCACGGCACCGGGCCCGGGCAGGTGGAGCGGCGCCGCGGGCAGGAGTGCGACCGGAGCGCGCATCGAAATACGGGTCCCCCATCGGTCCCCCGGTTGCTCCTTCGGGGCAAAGGCGGCGGCGCCCTGCCCTCAACACCCCCGGGCCGTGGCATCCCTGGGGAGCCGGGGGTGGCGGATAGGCAGCAGCTCTTCCCGGGGCTTGTTTTTGCTGGTTGGTAGCTCCATAAACCTCAGTTTCTCCCTCCCCGCTCCGGTGTTTCCGGGGCGCAGTCCGGGATCCCCGAGCTCGAGCAGGCGGTCGCGGTTGCCCGGCCGCGGAGCGGGGGCTGCAGCTTTCCCGTTCTCCTACGGTTTGGTTGAGCTCGCCGGGCTCTGCGTGTCAGCAGCGAGGCAACAGCAGCCTCAGCAAACGACTCTGGTGGAAAGAGGCGAGAGCTAGAGCCCGGTCCCGGCCCGGAGCCTTCCCTGGCTGGGGCGTACCGCCCCGAGCTGCCCGCACCGGATCGGGAGCGGCGCCGGTGCCGCGCTGGAGGGAGCAGCCGGCGTCGGGCCCCGTCCGCGGCGCGATCGCAACGAAATCTTCGGCCAGAGCCGGCGGAGGGAGCGGAGCCGGCGGGCCTGGCCCGGAGGACTCTGGCGGGGAGCGAACCCCAGCCCACAGCCGCTGCCTGTCTTTCCGCAGATTCCGAGGATGTCTCCTCCAGCGACCGAAAAATGTCCAAATCTTCCTTAAATCAGAGCAAGAAACGAAAGAAGAGGCGGCACAGGTAAGACAGCGGCGGCCCGCTCCCGTCGCCTCGGTCCCCAGGGAACCGGCCAGCGGCGAGCCCTGCCGCCCCGGCCCGCTCCGGCCTGGAGCAAAACATTCTTCCCGGCCGCCGGAGCGCCCCGGCACTCCTGCGGCTTCTTCAGTGGGTCCTTCCCTCTATTCTTTCTCCCAGTCCAAAATAAATCGGATATTGGGACGTGCCAACAGGGGGATTCGACCACAGGTGTAATTTTATTTAATTTTTTCTGGCTGCGGATCCAGATATTCCGGGTCGCAATCCTGTGCAGCCCATGAGCTGCGGTGGAATGCGGATCATCAGTGTTTGGAAGGGAAAATCATCAACCTGTCAGAAATAATAAAAGCCGTTTTCAGCTCCACATGCAGCAGTCTTAATACTGGCTGTCAGCAAGATAGAATTCCTATCAATAATTTAAATATTTTATTACGTAAAAATAAATATTTTGCCAATAGATTAAATAGATTAAATAGTAGGGAATCAGAGACAGCCTGCAAAGAAGCTGAAGAAGGCTGGAAAACTGTTTAAGGAAACGAAGATCCACTTTGGGATTTGGTTTCCTATAAGCACGGTCAGGGTAATAGACTTTGCCTGACTTCTCCCACAGTTAAAATGGAGTTGGTTTGTTTGCGCTTTATAAATAGAAACGAAAAATCCCGTGCTGGGTTCTGGCATTGCTGTGGCCAGAGAGCCAGGACAAAGGAAGGCCAAACACCATCCACTGAGGGTGATTTAGGAATAATTAAATCAATCCTGCCACGATGCAGGAAAGGTGGATTAAAAGACGCTCCAGTGAAAGCTTAGCAGGATGCGGGGTGGAAGGAGACCGACTATCCCGGGAGACACCCTGCTATGTGTGCAACAGGAGGCTCGGTCTGGAGGGCTGCTTTCCAAAGCCGGACCCCTCCCCAAGCAAATGTTCCCAGTTTGGGTGCTCTGGAGTGAGTACGAGTTCATTTTCTTTGCACCCCAGACGGGGCTGGGCGATAACACAGCTGGGACTGGTATACAGGTCCCGGTCTGGATGAGAGATAGGAAACGAAATTCAGATTTGTTTTGTTTTCAGTTCTAGACAGAAACAGACCTGCAACATTTGTCTGTAGTTGAATATTTCGTTGTAAACAATTAAGACCTCTAATTGTACCGAGGAAGAACTGGAAGATGACTGGCCAATAGCCTGCAAATAGCTGCAGGACAGAAACACCAAAAGGGCCAGTGGGTTGTGAATTGCAAAAGGGACGGGGACTACCCGGGCATGAGCTAAAAAGGGAAAACTTCAGCTGAATGTCAGCAAAACCCTCCCGCCGGTGAGGCTGGACAGGCTTCGGCGCTCTTGTGTGAGGAAGACGGAGGGGAATGCTTGAAATCTAAATTGGATCAAAATTGGAATAATTTTTCCTGTGGTCGCAGAGAGAGAAAATACATGATTCAGTGTGCCTCTGCTGTCCCTAGAGTTCACAGATTTGTCAGAGTTGAAGAAAAACTGTTTGAAAAGAGAATGGATTTAAAAGTGAATTTAAAGAAGGGTCTGATCGCAGGCAGGTCCCTTGCATTTGCATCCTGCTTTTGTTAGCATTATTATCGATCTGGTGGAATCCTTTTCATTTGTATAGGGGAGGATATTTCTGATATTTTCTGTTTATGCTCTCTGGAACTGAAAGGCTTTTCTGAAATTTGGATGTATTTTAGAAAATTACTCTATTTCCTCTTTCTTTCTGGGAGATGTGTTTTCTAGATTGATGGTAAATTTACACATTTACTTTGCACAAGGGCTGCAATTCGTTGTTGGGTTTAGGATTGTTTTTTCGTTGAGATTTTTTTGTTTGACTTGGTTTTTTGGTTGAGGTTTTTTTGTTTGATTTGTTTTTTTGGTTGAGTTTTTTTTTGTTTTTTTGTTTTGTTTTTTGGTTGGTTGGGGTTTTTTGTTTGTTTGTTGTTTAGGTTTTTTGTGGTTTTTTTGCCATTGCAGGATTTTTAGCTTTTATCTAAAATTGTGCTTTCTCTACTGGAGGAGTTGAAGGGTGGGAGTTTTAACCCTCAGGGAGTGGAAGTGGTCCGAGACTTCTCATCCATCTGCTAGGGAGGGGCTTTCATCTGTCTCGGCTTTCCAGCTGCTGATTTTTCAATTTGGTTGTCCCAAAGTGAGAACTGGCTGTGTGGAAGCAGGTTGGGCTGCTGCCTGCCCAGGGCAGTCCAGGAGGATTTCTAAAGGATAATGGGGTAATGCAAACTAGCAGGGAGCAGCTAAGGAGATTTTGGAGTGGAAGCAGCTGGGGAGAGGCAGAGGAAGGGAGCTGGTCCTGGCTCTCATGGGGAAGAACTGGTGAAAAGTGGTGGGTTAGGGTGGAGAAAACATTTGGAGAATTCGTCCAAAGACTGAGACTCAAGGTGAAGGATTATTTGCTCTTGGAGATTTTAGAGGCTAAGGACCAGCATCTGGGAAAGGGCTCAGCACCTCTCCAGCCGGGGTGCTGAGGAGAGGATGTGATGATCCTCACGAGAGGCGGCAGAGTCTCCGATCAGCTGCCATCTCTGCGGGCGCTGGCTGCTGGGGAGGCACTGTCTCCAGAGGCAAGTCCCTGGAAGGGAAGGTGATTTGTAACTGTTAAAAATGCTGTCTTCTGGCATTTTCTGGTTCTCCTTTCACCCTGGCACTTGACCTTTTGTGCACAGAAACACAGGAGGTGGGGAAAAGCTATGTATTAGCCGGTCACCCGGGTTTCACTGTTTTCAGTGTCCGTTTCTCTGACTCTTCATCATCTTTGCTGCTTCTCGTGTTTTGATCAAAGAGTTTTACTCCCCTCAGGACAATCTTCACATCCTATCAACTGGAGGAGCTGGAAAAGGCCTTCAATGAGGCCCACTATCCTGACGTGTATGCTAGAGAGATGTTGGCCATGAAAACAGAGTTGCCAGAAGACAGGATACAGGTAATCATATCTCTTGGACCCCCTTATTGTGCTGCTCTCAGCCATGCTCATCCCTCCATGAAGAAAAGGTAGTGGCATGGGCAGGCTGACATTTTTCTGAATAAACTTCCCCAGGCTGTTCAGTCTCCTGCTTTTGATGGCAGGCAGATCAGATATTCTTGGCAGATTTGTATTTGGTGTTTGTATGTCAACATGTGCTGTGCCTGGTGTGTGGTACTAGTGATCTGGGGCTGTAACGGAGGGGATCTTAAATCAGAGAAGGACAACAGGCATGCAAAAAAAGATGACAGTATTTCAAGGTCTTGGTAAAAGCAAGAAGAGAGCCTCCCAGAGACCATGTCTGGGTAGGCATTGCTGAAGGGAAAGAGCTCATCTCTGCTCCTTTGGCCACAGAAGGATGCACAGGGATGGCGTGGGCAGCTAGTACAGCTGTGGGTAGGATGCAGTGTGGGAATGATGGGTGAGTCCCAGCGAGATGTTTGCACCACATCTGCACTTTGACTGGATTTGCCTCATCAAGTGATGTTTCCCTGAAAGTTTCTGGGGATAATTCTTTGTTATTTTTTTATTAATCTGTTAAATTTTATTAAGGTAACAGCTTTTAACATTGAGGTTTTAGCTGCATGTCAGTCCTATCATGGTACTGTGAGGAGGTAGAACAAGGGGGTGTGGAATATCACTGCTGTGTGGGGAATCCTCCAGCAGGAAGGAACAGCCTGAGGTGCAGGGCTGGGCCAGGATCAGCCTTTGGCATGCATTACAGCCAGAAAGCTGGAGAAGACTTAACAGCTGCTGTTTCCAGTGTGGGAGGCACACTGGACAGAGTTAACTGATGTTCACAAGGGTGGGCTCCAGCACCCCCTTTTGCCTCACTTTACCCCATGGCTTGCTCCCACCAGGTTTCTACACAAGGCACAGGATTGTAATGGCCAAGCCTTGAGCAGGTGGAGTTCTGGTCTGGCTGGAAGTTAACCTGCCCTGGTTCTCCACACAGTGGCAGTGGCTGGCTGCTGTGACTGGTGCACAGTAGTTTCTACAAGAGACTTTGTCCTACGTGCCATGTGGTGTTGGGAGGGTCCTGGTTTCCCTGGTTCCTCCTTCTGTTCCTCCCTCATGCATGCCCAGCACCCACCAAGCTGTGTCTTGAGCTTCTGCTCTTCCTTTGCTGAAGAGATGGCCCAGGAGGCTGCTCCCTTGTGGGTTTGGAATGTAGCTCAGAGGGCACTTAGCAGGATAACACTGATGCTGGAAGCTGCTGAGGTATGACCCTGCACAGGGACAGGAAGATCCTCCAAAACAAAAGTGTAGCCTTTCTCCCCTCTGTTCTGAGCCCCCCTCACTACCCTTATTCTTGTGCTCAATCAAAAATGACATTTTAATAAAAGCAGCTCATGCTTCTTATCCCATTGACCTGACAGGACTCCTGCTGATCTAACAGCTTGTAGATAACCTGTGTGCTAACAGGATTTCCACCAGTCTTCAGAAATAATGCCCCACCATCTCAAATCCTACCTGATGCATTAGGATTTTGCTCTGAGAAACAAGCCCTGATGCTTTGCCTTTAGAAAGAGTGAAATGGATGGATGGTCACTTCTCCACTTGTGATCCTTTAGGACATCAGGCCAAGAGAGGAGAGATTGCTGGGAATTTATTATTGCCCACAGCCACAATTTGGTGCTGGGCTGGAAAGAAGATCCTTTGATTTCCCATAAAAGACCTTTCCAAGGAAGAGGTTCCTCTAGTGGCACAGTGTATGTTGAATTCCAGAGGCCCCATTTCTCTGGCCAGAGCTGAGAGCATTCACTCTGTGTGAGGTGGAGTGAGATGTTGTGGCAGACAGTGTAGAGCTGACACAGCTTGTACGGCTTCAGCACCTGGAACGCCCTGAGTATCTTAACTGATCTGGAAATTAAATAGTAGGAAAAGTATCTTAGCTGTCCCTGACTGGTCTGCCCTGTCATTCTGCAGCTGGCTAATGAGCAACTGCTTAGTCTTCCTGTATTGCAGCTTTTTAACCTAGGAGGGCTCCTTACTGTGACCCCTCTGCTCTTGAGATCAGGTGAGACTTGGGCAGCAGAAGCACCTCAATGTATGGCTGTTCTGAACATCAGGTGTAACTAATGGCATGTGTATTCCAGAAAAAAGTGATTGTGAATAACAGTGATTGTAAATAACAGTTTTGCTGGCCATGAAAGAGGAAATAATGAGAAACAACAGAATTTCTGTGGCATCTGTTGAGCACCTTGCCAGGGTGAGCATCAGGCTCACAGAGGAGTCCTGAGCACCACTGTTCTTCCCAATAGGTCAGCAATCCACTGTCCCTTACCACACATTCTATGAAATCTTCTTGTCAAGATTTTTTTTGTGTGACAAGCCATGGCAAGGTGATTCCCAACTTTGATCATACTTCTTGATATTTTACCTCGTATTTCTTTTCAACTTTGGGCCTTTTTGTTACAAGCCTAATTATTTCCCCTTGGTTATAAAGTTCATGCTCTTTAAATAAATGTAAGATATTTCTTCTCCTGGTCACTTCTGGTTTTCATCATTGCTGAAGTAAGTTGTAAAGATCTTTCCTTAAATCATCCTTCATAAATCACATGCTCATCTCTTAATCATGTGGTTGTTCTTACATGAAGCCATCCTGTCTGTCAGCCTTCCTGGAGATAAGAGACCCCATGCCTACAACTGCATGCTGGGTGTGTTCACACAGTTCAGCTGGACTTGTGGTCCTTTGCAGTCTTGGATTAGCACTGATCTGCTAGCTTCCTTATTTATTTCTACTATCTAATGCAGTTGCCCCAAACGTCTTTTAAACAGATTTTATTCTATGCTCAGGATTTTTCCTTCAGTGTTCTGGGTTTCATTTTTTGTTAACTTTGGCTGACAAGCATAAAAACATCCCTACCAGCTCTGACAGTGGTGAGAGGTGGGTGCCACACAGGGCAGCTGTCTGGTGATGCTGAGCACTTTGTCAGTCTCCTGGGATTTTGAATGCATGTAAATTTCTTAATATCCCATGGCAAGAAGTTCTGCAGCAGAACTGCCTGAGTGCAGTAGATCTTGCTTTGAATCTCTTAGCATCATTTAATGCTCCTTGGAAGAGACAGCTTACCATGAATCTTTACTCCCATCTTCATAATATTTATAATTTCACATCATCACTTTTTTTTCCTTGCATGAATTTCCAGCTGCCTGAGGGAGCTGTATAGTTTTGCATTTTCATTGCAGCTTGTGGTTCCTCTCATCTTTCAGCAATCTCCTTCCTGTAGGTCATTAATGAAAGTGTTTTCTAATATTGTTGTGAGCATCATATGTTGTGGACTTCTACAGCATTTCCTGTGGTTTCCCACTGGATCCTCACCTAAGACTGATGTCTACCCCTTATTTTCATTCATGGAATTATTTCTCAGGAGGTATTAGTCAAAGAGAAAGTAAATCACCTATGAAATTTGATGTGAAAGTGAAATTCAAAGAGGGCAATTGAAAGAATGATATATAGGAACTGTTTGCAGATAAAGCCTTCAGCAGAACACTAGAAATATCCATCAGAGGCCAAGAAAGTTACTGGTTTAAGAGAACATTGAATACAGGAAAAAATATTCAAACCCTCCATTTAAAGAGGATACGAAAGTGTATTTTTTTTCCAAGGCAGACACCCACTGTATGTGTCCTACTCCCACACTGAGCTGGCTGCTCCTGGAAGGAAAATGAGCATCCTCCCATTGGGCAGCATGGGAAAATAATTTTTTATAATAGTGAGATACTATGCACAAGTCACATCAGATGTCACTGTGGCCATTTTGCAAGATACTTGAAAAAGACCACATTCATCAATGTATTTGAAAGAATATTCATAGGAGTTGAAGTGCCAGTATTGGAATAAACCCTGTTTATTCCAGACTGTTCTGTAAAATCCAAGAGAGGTAAGTAGATTCCTGTGAGGAAGTATATCCTTATTAAACATGATGAAGTATTAAAAATGTCCTGAGGCTGACAAATACTTAAATTGCTGTTTCTCATAACAAATCTCTTAAGTGTAACATGTAGATTTTACATAAGTTAACCCTATTGAATTTAATTATACATAACAGTTCCAAACTTTAAACTGAGTAGTTACAATATGAAAGTTCAGTAACAGTTTGATTTGGGGATTATTGAAATGATTGTGTATGTTTGTCCTTACAGTATGTGTCCTGCTGATCAAACAAATTGATTAATCAGTATTTTAAAAAAATAAGATCCTGACTGCTATTGTAGGGACATTAGAGTCACCTTTTAAGGGAAGTAATCAATTTTAAAAGGTAATAAAACTGCTAAAAATTGTCAGTTCTTGTTGTTAAAAGGTGCATGGTAATTATTGGATGACAATTTTTGGGACAAATGAAATTGCTCACATAAGCAAAAGGAATCCCAAGAAGAGGCTGGTGCTGTGTGAGGAGTGGGGATTGTCTGTGCATCCAGCAAGCTTTGTCAGGCAGCTAAGAGGCCAATTTTGGCTAAAAACAAAACAAGGTCAATTAAATCTCTAATTGAAAAAGTATTGGTTTAGCTACCAGATTAACACATTTCAGTATCACTGTGAAGCCCTTTAGGAGCTGAACAGGGATGGAGGAATCAGGAGGAGTAATCATTTAGAGGGAAGCAAGTACCAAGAGTGTTCTGCAAGGACAGAGGCTTATCTTCCTTCAGTTTTGCAAATAGGTTCCCTGTTTAGAGATAATTTGACAAGGCCTGAGGAGCCTGTACTGCACTGAGTGTGAGCTCAGGAGTGAAGCCACGGAGCCCCCTCAAGGAACATGACAGAAAGCATGAAGGAAAAATTAGTTTTATGCAGCTTTAGCAGCCCTGGCTTCTCCCTCTCCTGCCAGGTTTTCTTGCTTGTTGCAGAGTGCTGAGGTGTAGCCTGAATCCCAGGGTGTAAGTATGGAATGCTGTGATTGCTCCATGCAGCAGGTGACCTTTCCTGAATGTGTGCCTGGAATGGCTGCCAAAGCATT